CCTTTGCCTGGCACAACGAGGACAACATCACCACGCTGGAGATGTTGGCAGCTCTAGCGGAGATCCGACGCCGTGCGCGGCAGTTGAATACACAGGGGACAAGGTTCTTCCACATCCTTGACTCCCAGGTCGTGTATCATATCATGGCGAAAGGCAGGGCACACAGCAAGCGGCTTAATAGATTGGCTCGACGGATGATGGCGGTTCAGCTGGCGGCGCAACTGCAGGCGCTAGCGCTTTGGACCATTTCGGCATGGAATTTTGCCGATACTGCGTCCAGGAGATTTGCTCCTCACCATGGCTCCTAAGCTCCACCTTAGGTTCCAAGGTCTGAACCCCAAATCCCGAGCCAACTACCGCCGTGCCCTGCTCCGCTTTTTTGCCTTTCTTGCAAGGGAGGAATTAGAGCTGCCCAACACGGTGAAAGCCCTTGACTCAGCGCTTGGGGAATTCATGAATGAATCCTTTCAAGAGGGTGACTCACCTGGGTATGCTGGGGCTGCTGTGTCAGCCCTCAAACGTTTCCTCCCCCGACTGAGGTCGAGGCTTTATACTGCCACGCAATTATACTCCAACTGGATGAAAGTTTACAAGCCCTGCAGAGCCACGCCTGTCCCATGGTCCATGGTGCAAGCCATGGCAGGAGCTGCACTTGCAGCTGGTCAGAAAAGGCTTGCAGTGGCACTTCTCATCCAGTTTCTCTTTTTCCTTCGCACTGCTGAAATTTACGGGCTGCGGCCCAGAGACGTTTCCTGCCTGCGCTCAGGGCACGTGGTGGTAGCTTTACCACACACCAAAACCTCCCGTGGGAGAGCGCAGAGCGTCTCACTCTTCGACCCTTTTCTATGCCGCGTGCTGCCTGCAGCCATGGCATCGTGGTCAACCGATCAATCTATAATTAACTCTTCGTTGCAAGTTTTTCGGGCAAGATTCCAGAAACTGGTAGTCTTCCTGGGGCTGGAAGAAGGCACCTTCCTCCCCCTACGGCCTTCGCCGAGGAGGTGCCACTTTTCACTGGCAAACCTCACAGAACTTTGAAGCTACCATGATTATGGGAAGATGGCAGGATCAAAAAACCTGCCGCATCTACCTGGATGAAGCCCGCGCACTGCTGGTGCAGCAACAGCTTACGGTTTCTGCCCTCCCTCGCCTCCCTCACTTCGTGCAGCAGTGCCGCCAGCTTCTGTTGAAGCCATAACGCTGCGCGAGGAAGGCAATCGCTCTCGCTCACTTTTAGTGGGGAGCGCTTTTGAGTTGGGAGGCGCACCGCGGTGCAGTTTCACCTGTTTCCATGGCCTACCACCCGCGGGTGAGTAAAGGCCTTCATATGCCAGGAGACAGCTGGCCCATGTAGGCCCCCTGGCTTTTCACCCGTGCTGTGGCTTGTCCACGGTGCGCTGATCATGACCGCTGCCTCGGTCAGAAAAAGTGGTGTTCGCGTGGCACACGAGTCCAATGGGCCGTTGTCATGCATTAGGAGCACCCACGGCGCGCACCTTGCATGACATTTACTTTGGACGTCATGCGCGCGTAGCTTTTTGGTTTCCCGCCCGTGCCCTCCCCGCACCGCGGTGCAGTAGGGAGGCGCACCGCGGTGCAGTTTCACCTGTTTCCATGGCCTACCACCCGCGGGTGAGTAAAGGCCTTCATATGCCAGGAGACAGCTGGCCCATGTAGGCCCCCTGGCTTTTCACCCGTGCTGTGGCTTGTCCACGGTGCGCTGATCATGACCGCTGCCTCGGTCAGAAAAAGTGGTGTTCGCGTGGCACACGAGTCCAAATATTTTAGGGTACCCAAAAAGGGTCCATAATGTTGACAACTACCCAAATGCCTGCACTCCTGAACTTGACGTTCGATTTGATGGCAGTAAAACGATGCTAAACATACTCTTGCATGGCAAGGTGCTGATCCTGGTCACGATGGAGCCCCAAGAGCATGCATCCGGCGGAGAAGAAAAGTAAGAGCTGTTTCCGGCCTGTAGCCAATGAGGCAGCCGTACTCCTCGCGCATGCTGTATGGAAAGAGATTCATTCTGATATGACTTTTGCGCTACACTCCGGGTGTTGAAGACGAGGTGTGGCCGTAGCATCAAGCCACGGCGACCTGTGAGTGTTGTTGCCACGCGACAGCTCGCGGCAACCTTCAGAACGAGCGCAGCTTCTCCAAACAATGGTGCAGGACCCACCCAGTGAAGTGGAGAAGCGCCTTCTTCGAAGGCCAACCGAAATTTTCAAGACCTGGTGTAGATTTTCGATGCATGTAGGGCAGCTTGAGCCTTGTTTTGAGGCATTTCTTTCCTTCCAAAGTGGGTGGGCGGCCGGCCTGGTCGGGAACTTGTCACTGCTGGGAACTTATCTTGAAATGTGCCTCCACGTCCTCCACGCTCCATCTGAGGCTGATCCCAGCGAATCTGCCTGGAGAAGAGGAGCTTGCCTGCCTCAGGCGCGGCGAAAGGTACTAGTACTCGTAGCGGCTGACCAAGATCGATGGACGTGAGAATCAGCAGCAGGAGAGTAGCATGAGAGTGATCTCGCTGGCCCAAGGTAGTTAGCATGTTGCCCTCATGTGAGCCTCAAGTGCCAACTCCCAAGCCTCCAGCGGATTTTCTCGCAGGTGCAGCTCGCGAATGCGATTCCTCATGCAGGCTGTGGTTGTGAGGTTGCAGGGTGACGGGTTGGAGTGACACGTCGTAAGCAAAGGTACAGCCAAGCCGCCCAGTCTTGCCATGTCTTGTCAGATCTACGCTTCGCAGGGCACGCGGAAGGCATGGGACTCCCAAGTTTGTGGAGACTGGCAAGAGCAAAGAGTCGTCACTGTCAGATGCAGTAGATGTTTCTGTCGATGGACGTCCTTGCCTAATGTGTCGTACCCGCAGGAGTCGTGCTTTCATCGTACCCTTCACATCTTCGTCTGCACGAATTGCCAGCCGAACGAGGTGCATTCGGGATCCTGGACCCAAAACCCTGTTGAGACCTGAGACCCTAAACTATCGGGATCTTCGCGCCCTAACAGGGTTTAGGACTGTTGACCGTGGGGCAACTTTGCTAGAGTCTCGATTCCGTTCGTGGCAGATCCCAGGCAGTCGCGCAGACAGCTGTATTCCGTTGTTTTGCGGGGAGTGTCAGCTTGTCATGCCAGGTGAGGGTTTTTCGGGCCCAACTGCCCCGCGACTGCAGGGCACTCAGTGAATATTGGCGCCGTGGACTTCAAGGTTTGTTCTTGTCTTTTTAAGACTTCTGTGCGAGGCCCATACTACAGCTACGACGAGCCAGACAGGGAAGCTCGAAGCCCAACTGCAGACGAAACGTAGGAGATCTGTGGCAGAGCTGGGAAATCGTACATGATCACTTCAGGTTCGACGTAGGCTACGCGTAGACATCACCAAGATCTTGCTTGCTGGACAGTAGCAGGAAAGCACGGCTAAACTAAGACACCTTCAGATGGGAGACTGTGACAGCATACCAGGTGCCGAGACTGGGTGCTGATTGCCGGGACAGAACTCTGGAATTGCACATGGTGCGACAAGGCTATGTTACGTGAAAGCACCTCGCTGCTCTTTACATCAGAACCAAATCAAATGCGCGAGGAATAGTAGTTGAGTGGTTTGGGTCTGCAAGTAGCGAATCCCCACAGTGAGAGCGATCAGTACAAGCGGAAGCAGCTGTAATTGCTTGACTACTCGTGGACACTGGGACAGGTAGCCGAAGGGCCAGTGCAGCATGCAAAACAGAAACTCAAGACTTGGTGCAGTTTGGCTTCCGAGTGAATTCCTGGCGAATTTATGCTACGAGCTCGACGCCGTTTGAGTCGTCTTTCTGCTTCAACATTTTGGACTTGTTGAAACTTGAACCGAGGCCGCCATTCACGGCGAACCTTTGCCGGATGTCGAGCTGGAGGACTCAGCCATGCTCATCTGTGTAGCGAGAGCCCTTCCGTTGCCTTTTTTCCATCAGTGTAGCAAGGGAAAGCACGGACTGATTTATTGAAAACGAGCCAGTCGCCAGTCACGAAAGCTAGCTCTTTGGAGCTTGCGGGAGTTGTCGTTCATAAACTTCTCTCTAGTGTTCAGATGGGTCAACAAGAGTCCTCGGGCCGGAAGTGGTATAAAAATCAATTAGTTAACGGGCTGCCGGGTGGCTAGGGGGTGCCACCCCCCCTCTCCTGTCAGAAATCTTTGGGTGTGACATCCCAAGCTGCCACAAAGGTTTGTCCTTCCCGGGGAACCCCCCCTACAGTTGATGTTGTCGATGCAGATGGCTGGCATCAGACTGCAGGGTTTGAAAAGCGAGTATCTTCGTGGCAAATTTTGGGGGCATTGGTACTGCAAATTACCTTCGAATCCCTTGCTGTTCCAGCCTTGGCTTTGGCTTTCGTTGCGTTGTAGCCCAGCTCTCAAGTTTGGTCGTGACAAAAGCGGCGTGAATCGGTTGGATTTCGTGACCGCCATGTCGCAGTTAGCCTGACATTCGTAGACGCTAGTGACTGCGACGGTGTAGGCGAGGGAGCTCTGTGGCCCGTTTCGCCACACTGGTCTTTTTCCAGCCCATGGGCGCGTTCCCAGGTTAATTAAACTCTGATTAGGTGGTGTTGGGCTGTGTACTGCCGGCTCTTTCGCGGCTCTCTTCTTGTAGGCCCTTTGCTGCCCTCATTGTGGCCTGGCTTCTGGCCAGGCACTCGGGACAGGACCTGTACATGTCGTGGGTGTTTTTCTATTCGAAGTGGCTGCAAAAGTGCGATGGCATCGGGGGTTCGGGAGTCGTGGTTTGCAGTTTCAGCATTGGGTGTTCAAGGTCACCGCCGGAGGGTTTGGCTCAGCTATTGTTTTAGCGATTCTTGTGTGCAGCCGGCAAACATTAACATCACATGAACAGGCTTTGCAGAAACAGGCGAAAGCACATGTATGTATGAGCCCGAGGTGCATGCGTAGTCATCGTCTTGCGGCACGGATTCAGTTGTTGCTGAATCTTTCGCAGTAGATAAGCAGTGGCCGCGGTGCTGACATGCAACCTCCTACTGGTGCCGCTGCACCAGCAATGGAAATGCCAGCACTGGATCCCGACACGCTGGTAGACGTTCTGAACAAGGGGCTTGTGAGGTACTACATGCTTGACTGCGGAGGCAAGTCGCAAGATATGTGCATTCTGCGGCATCCCAACGGTTTGCTTGTGTTGAGCCTTGCTCCATCTCACAGCTTGCTGCAGCCGTCAGCACCTCGGGTGCTCGAGGTCCAGTTTCCTGACAGCATTAGCGAACACGAGGCCTTTGGCAAGCGCGGACGGGGTGGGGCGAACCTACTTCCGAAGACCGTCCTTGCTGACATCTCGTTGTCGGATGGTTCACGGATTCACGTCCAAGCAGGTATTGAAGGGCGATTGATTGAGCTGAACAGCGCTCTGCGGGAGCAGCCTCAGCTCCTGCAGTCGTGCCCAGAAGATGAGGGTTTCGTGGCCATTCTGCAGCCCAAAAGGCCACAGGACGTACCACGCATCTTGGCAAAGCTGCTTGACCCCTCAAACTACGCCCGCATGCGTCCAGGGCATGTGCAGACATACCGTCATCATATCTGCGGAACTTCCGGTCCTGCTTGGGCCGGTGATACGAAAGCTTCGGCGATGCCAACTGCATCGTTGGATGCATCCTGATGCCGAAAACAGACCACGCTGCAAACTTGCTTCTATGACGGTAGTCCGGAAATCAGCGCATCGGAATGCAGAGAATAGCTGCAACAGCTGTGCTTGGCCTTTGAGGTACGGCACCGGAGCTTTGCAGCGACTGCGATAGGCGAGCGAGGCTCTCGAGCACATGGAGCCTCATGTATGCGTCGGTTCTGTTGAGCAGAGCTCCTGACAACGTTAGTCTTTGCGGTGTGTCGACTCATGCCGCTTGACAGAAACGGAGATCCGCCGGTGCCCTTTGCCGAGTACGAGGTACCAGTTGCATTGTATCAGGTCGCCATCTGCCACGTCTAAGAACTGAACTGACTCACCCACTCCCATGTTGAGAGTGTTGCAACTAGAACATGTCCCGGCCCTCAAATCCCCTCAAATAGGTCTTTGCACAAGTGCTTCAGGCTTAAGGTATTCAAGTCCAATTGCGAGAAGATTATCGCCAGCCGCCATGATTTCTGCTGGATCTGCTGGCATCCAGGGGGTTGTGCTTTGGAAACAGCAGACGCCACTTTCCAGACCATAGTTCGTCCGTGCCAGCCCGTCCATAGTCATAGAACCCCGAGCTGGACAGCTGATGCACAAGAGGTGTGTCTTTCTCGTAGCTCCTTGATGGGCATCCAGCAGTGCAGATTGCACGACGCGGAATGGTTGAATGGCGGCCAACGCCCAAGAGAAGCCTTTCTTCAGGGGCCGCAGCTGATCTGGGAGTGATCTACGAATCTACCTGCACCACCAAGGCTTCGGAGGAAGTGTGGCGGGAGGCAACCGGGAGACGAGAGTGAGAGGAGTGATGACGACAGCTTTTTGACCTTTACGAGGCCTGGGTCGGCTCGCCTTTCACGGGCAAAGTTGCAGAGAGCTCAGTGTAACCGCAGGAGGCAGGTGGGCTGTCCCCTGACAGGCGGTCTGGCCGCGGCTATGTTAGCTGAAACCGTTCATTGTTGCTGCATTCTCCCTTCTCCCTCCAGCGTGGCCGAGGTGATCCGTCGGGACATCAATCGCGTTGAGCACTTAGCCGTGCTCTGCGAGGCTGTCACGACCAGGCCACGTTCACCATCTAGTCTACTTGTACCAAGCTCGACTTACACGTCGACCGTGACGAACATGCGAGTGTGCATCCGTCGAGACTCGAGATATGTTGGGACGGTTTAGAGTGGCCAGCATGGAGACGGCTTAGCATGGCCAGGTATGGACAGGAGGCGGAAATCCTAGATGATGGGCGCACCATCTTCGTTTCCTTGGATGATGAGATTGCGCTCAGCCCCTGGAATTGTCATGATTGCCACACAAGGCTTTTGCGCCTTTCTTTCAGCTAGTTCGGAAGTGTTTCCATGTCTCATGTCATGCGATGTGTGACAGTTGACTTGGCGTTGCTGCCCTGGCACGAGCGTCGTGTGACCTACTGACTGGGATCACGCCATGCCTGAAAGGAATATTGACTTTGCAACTGTGACACTCTTTTCAGCTCATCTCATACTTGTAGGATACCGGGTGTCAGCTTTATATAATCTCTGAGGCGAGTTCAACGGTGCACTACAGTACAGTGTGGTATGGTACGGTTGTGCTCCTGGCTCCCCAGGTTTGGAGTTGTCCCGCGGCCCAACATGGCGCCGCTGGCAGTAAATGCCGCAAACTTTGGAGCACCGCCGTCGACGACAGTACACACAGTACAGCTGGAGCGCTGAGGTCTGGCGGCTTGCGAGCAAGAGGCCCCGGGCCCGGCCCGCCGGGTGCTACATGTCCAAGTCGCACTGCCACTTTTCGTGCTGTGTGCAAAGCTGACGATGTAGCTTTGTCTTTGAACCGATGAGACCTGCGACCGAACGTACTCCAGCCTTTAGTGACTTAGTGCCTATGACATGCATTGGGCCCTCGCACAGCATCGGCGGTGAGCTGTTCGATAATGCACTGATCTAGCTTCGAAAACTCTCTGAGAAGGCCAGTGATGCTTCCACACGGCATGCACAACACACAACACTGTCCTTAGGCTGCCATAGGCCCAGATTGTGCATGTGCGATCGTTTTAGTGTGTGGAGAGTTTCGTCAGGATGATGACGGCAAGTCAGAGCTTTCTTCATGCTCTGCATGTCTGTACTGTGTAAGCGTTTCGCCTTCCACATGTGTCCAGCGCCCAGCTCCCTACAAGCAACAGATGCACAGGAAAGCCACATCCCAGTCCTTCCGCAAGCCGAAGGCCGATTTGGTCGCCACCATGTCTGTGCATTCTGCTTGCGGGTTCTGGCAGTTCTGGCTTCTGGAGGAGACAAAGGCCAAAGCCACAGAAAGACCGAGCAAGCAGCGCGTGACTGCCGGCGAGGCAGATGCAGGGATTGTCGGCTCCTGCCCTCATACTTCGACATGCAAGGCGGCGCCTCAAAAGGGGGCGAAGTGGCAGGCGCAAGGGTCCATCCAGCTAGTAATTCATTTTGGACATGGGGCTGTTCGCTTGCTTGCAGAGGCCAAGAACAAGGCGGAAGCTCCTGCACCTGCGCCGGTGAGCAACGGCAAGGCCAATATTAGGGGCTCTCGGCTCTCGCAATGCTCTGGGCTGACAAGTGCCTGCCTTAGTCAGACCTACGCGCACGATGCCTTCAGGCCCCTTTGCGGATGCTCGGCCTTGTCCAGCACAGACCTTAAACCCAGCGGCTGAGCTCTGATACGAAGAAGTTGGAAGCGCTTGTTTTGAAGAATGGTGCTGTGCTGGCTCATAACGGATGCTGTCAGTCTCGTGCACTCCATGAGTTATGCACCAGGCCAAACTGCAGCAAAATTCACAATCCCAAGAAAGGCTTGCGTGCCTTCCCGTCTCTATTTTGTTTACGATTTCGTGATCACCCCTCGCATGTTCATCCAGTCAGCGTGCGCGCCTATACAGACCGTGCTGAGGAGGCAGAACAAAAAGACGGGTCGCTATCAAGTGATCTGCCAGGCTGGGCAGGGAAAGAAAGCGGTACAGATCTTCGATACGCACACCACCGCTTGGCCAGTAGGTGAGGTGCCGATGTGCAGTTGGCAGGACATCTCAGATGTCTACGGACAGGATGCTGAAATAGCAGCAGAGGAGGCGTCCTTTCCGCAACTCGTAAAGCTCCGTACAGATCACCACTCTGATGAGTGACACTGCGAGGTGCCGGATGACCTGAAGCCGGGAGATCGAGTGTCCTTCACAGTCGAAGCGCTGCGCCCGGCATAGCTACTGGTAGTTCTCCACAGCCAAACAGTGATGATTTGACGAGCACTCCACACGGCTGCATTGCATCATCTGAACGCATACTTCCGGATGGAAAGCAGCCGCCCAAGGAGCCCAAGCACAATGCTGCCACGATATGGGCGCGGAATGTGAAGGTCGGAGCCTATGAGAGTCCCATCGCTAGGGCCGCTGCTCCTCCCCTTCAGGTCCTGGCTGCTCGAGGGGTGAAGCGGCACAGGCCAGTCGCGGCTGGAGATGGCGAGGCCCTGGCATCGGGCCAGAGACACGAACACATCACCAGAACGGAGAAAGCCGTGACGTGATCTGAGCAGAGGAGTTGGATGGCATGGACCAGCTGGAGGTGAAGGCATCGGGATCATGACAGAAGCGATCGGTTTTGCAAGAAATCACAGCTGCCGTAGCTTCTCACTAGCGATTCCGGATCCTTTTTGTTTGGACTGATGAGATTTGGACTGAGGAGTGCGATGGCCCAAGCTTGTTCATGGCAGAGGACGGCCACGGCCCAACGAAGGTTCAGGATTTAGTATGAAAGTGCTGCTGCTAAAGTTTGTTTGGAGAGATAGTTGCAGTTGAGTGTGCCATGCTGTCGTCAGGAGCAGTAGCTCGCCTAACCCCCATTAGTTACCACCTCATCAAAACCCCCGCCCCGTCAGGAGCCAGCGCCACCAGCGGAGGAGGAAGCGCTCCTGGACTTCCAGGATCTTCGGAAAGCACGACAGTATGATGATAAAGGGGGAAAAGGAAGAGGTAATCGCGTTCTTCGTTCTAAGGAAATGTGGAAAACTCATAGCTGGTACCACGCATGATCCTGGTCGAACAGAAGATCTCTACGAGCATGTCGTACTAGCATACTACAAGTCTTCGGTCCGCTTCTTCTGAACTTGCTGGGCGGATAGTCACCTCGCCCGACACTGTATTGAGCACAACTTACGTCACAGGGGGGCCTCTACGACGACGACCCGATCGCGGACTCCATTGAGTTTCTGCAGGCAAGGGCTGTCCAGGTCTGCTTGGTGGACGGTCATGGACCCCACGATTGGAGAACGACCAATGCTGATCGGATGTCCTTGCATTGAGTTGTCGCGCTCCCGATGCACGTGCAAGGCTGAGCAGTGTCCCGAGGCACGGCAGAGAGACAGAGAGAGCGCAAGAATGAGACTGAGAGAGCCTCAGCTCGCTGCAGACACCCACACCGAAGCCACCTTCCACACCAGAGGAGCAGGGCACTCAGCTTGGCTCGAGGCCTGAATCAGAGCCTCGGGGTACGTTCTGTAAGGAGACAGGTACGAAGTGACATCGAAGCATGCCGATGGAATTTACTTGCTTTTGTCTTTGTGCGGCGACATCTGTGAATTCGTACTTTCTGGGTTGCCTTTGCCTTTGCATGCCTTATTATCAGCATTCAGATGTCATCCTAGCTCCTAGCCGCAATCCACTTTGTCGGTGCAGAGCACAGGTGGCAGCTTGCTCAGGCCCGACTCTTCGGCTCTTTGCTCGGGCCCCATAGACACATTTGGCGGGTCTTCACGGAGGAGTCTTCAGAGTTAGAACCTTGCGGTCGACGGCTTCAAAGCTTCAGGAACTTCAGGAAGGGAAGGAGCATTGGATTTAATCTAGCTGTTCTTAGACTACAGAAGCCGGGGTAAGTCGGCATGCCGGTGCACTTGAGGACGACAGTGTGTGTTCAGTTCTGGCACCTTTCGGGGGTGTGATCGGATGCTCAGAAACTCCTCAAAAACAGCATTCTTTCTTCAGTGCCTGCACACCCGCCGTGCCAAGCAAGGCCCCCGCTCAAACCGAACTGGATTCGAATCCGGGCCAAGTCCACCGGCAAGGCAGGTGATGTAGAGCCGATATAGACGAAGCTTGCAACGGTGGCAGAGTTGCAAGAACACGCTTATGCTTGGGCCTCACGAAATCAGCACGCCACGCGTTGCAGGTCTACTACTACAATATGGTCTCGGGCCATTCGACGCCTGATGAACCACGACTCAGTGATCGCTGAGCCTGGAGGGGGCAGAGCCGCAGCGACAAAAATCTCAGAGCTTCTTGTGCTTTCCTGCGGGATGTCTGAGAGTCTGGGAAACATGAAAGCGATTGTTGCTTGGAGATGTTGTGTGGACACTTGGCCAGATGTCCGTCTCGGCAGCCAATGTTTCGGACGATGAGGAGGAGGCATGCCGAATCACTCATTGAGACCAGAGATAGACCTTAACTGAGATGTTGAGATCCTCTAGTCCAGGAGTGCTGTTTGCAGGCGCCACGTTCTGCTATGTGCTATCATTGTTATCAGTCTTGGTAAGGATCCTTGGCTTTCCACATGTCCCAATTCGGGTTCCCTCAGCTGTGGTGTTTGAGGGCTTTTGTCCTTTGGAGTGGCATTCTGCTCCACAATGGCAAGCCAAGCTGAAGGGTCGGGGATACCAGGCCAAAAGGTAACAGTAGGAGCAGAGACCAGGAAGTACTTGAGAACTCGGAGTTATTCCATCGTCCTCTCCGGGTCCCACGTAGACAGATGATCGGCCCCATTTTGCAGTCGTCTCACACCTGCTGAAGCCGTCCAACGCTTCTCAAAATCCCATTGCCTGCAGATAAGGGACAGTTCGTCCAGCTAATCACCAAGACGCTTCTCGAATCGAAACCCTCTGCACATGTCAGCAGTTTTACCGTAGGCTTCTGATTGCTCTCGTTACTCTTCTTTGTGCAGTAGTTTGTTTTTACTAAGTAGCATCGTTGGGGATACTGCTTGGAATGCACACGTGACTCCTGCAAGGGTCCGTGGAACACATGCCTATGTTGAACCCATTTGTGCCCGCGCATTGAATACACAGCCCTCTAGGTCACTCTGGTCACCTTCCATGACTTGAAGTTGAAGCTAGGACAGCCAGGAGCCGGCAACAATCGAGACTAGCGCCGCAGAACAGCGAGCCGAGGAGGACGGGGATGAGCAATGCGTTGAGCTTCTGTGTTTTACCGTTGCTGTTCCAAGATACTCGTTCGGGTACCGTTGGTACAAGCTTCACGGGCGAGAGTTCTGATGCTTTGCTCAAACCGGCTGGGCCCCAAGTGCATGCGCAGGGCATCTTGCGGTCCCAGTCAACGAACGTGACATAGTGCAGGGCTCCCTATAACGCTGGGTTTGCAAGGTTTTAAAAATCACTTTTGGGTGCTCTTTTTTTATCTGTTTTGGAAATTAGGACTGCCAAAGAGGCAAAAGATTGACCGACGGAGACAGAGAGAGAAAAAATAGAGAGAGACAGATAGGTGGAGAGAGACCGAAAGAGAAAGAGAAAGAGACAGAGGGAGAGAGTAAGAAGAGTTAGAGAGACAAGAGAATAAATAGATATGAAGACATGCTGTTGAGACCCGTGACAGCTGTGCTTCTAGTCGTTGTTGATGGGCAATAAACCGGAGAAGGGGGGGCGGGGGGGGAGGGGGCGGGGGGGCAGGGGGGCAGGACGGCCAGAAAATTGTTTCCCTGCGCCTGTAGAAGGGGTTAGGGGGATTTTAGTTGGGTTTTTAATGTTGAGTCGTGTGTTGCGCCTGTAGAAGGTGCTAGGGGGTCTTAGTCGTAGTTAGGACTTTAGGTTGCGCCTGCAGAAGGTGTTAGGGGGTTCTTAGTCGTAGTCGTATCGGGTTTTTAATCTTGAGTCGTGTGTTGCGCCTGTAGAAGGTGCTAGGGGGTCTTAGTCGTAGTTAGGACTTTAGGTTGCGCCTGCAGAAGGTGTTAGGGGGTTCTTAGTCGTAGTCGTATCGGGTTTTTAATCTTGAGTCGTGTGTTGCGCCTGTAGAAGGTGCTAGGGGGTCTTAGTCGTAGTTAGGACTTTAGGTTGCGCCTGCAGAAGGTGTTAGGGGGATTTCTAAATTAAGTCGTTGGATCTTAGGTTGCGCAGAAGGTGTTAAGGGGGATTTTAGTGGTAGTTCCTTTGGGTTTTCAAGTCCCTTAGGACCTTGGGTTGCGCCTGCAGAAGGTGCTAGTCTTAACTAACTGGTCCTTAGGACCTTAATGTAGTGTAAATTGCCTGCCCGGACCCTAAACCCAAAACATCACAAAGCCCTAAGCCTTAAGCCCTGCAATCGTAGAGCCACATAGACCCGGAACCTCGAGTCGAGGGGGTTGTGGGACCGGGAGTCGTGAGCCTTCGACGTGAACGACTTCTGCCAGTCTGCCAGCGCCTCACAGTCACAGTGTTCGCTTTGTGGGCATTCCGGATTTCAGATTCATGACGGGTTGTTTGGGTGCCCTGCTGATCAGTAGGTTTCCAAAGTCGGTGCTGCTGATTCTGCGCATCTCGACTCAGGCGACAGTGCTTGGTTAGAAAAGCTTAAAGAGCCCCAAAACGTCCTTGAACCTTTACACCAAGAGCCTTACATCCTAATGGGAACAACTGCCAAAACCTAAAATCCCTGAAACCCGATGCCCTTTTCAAGCCCCAATAAAATGCCATAAAACCCCCAACACTTAAAGCCCCCTAAACCTTTATCTAAACCTAGAACGCTGAAGCTTTAACCAAGCGCCAACACTTTAGATCCCTTAGCATTGATTCATAAACCCTCCCATGAGGCTGTTGCTATCTCCTCTTCTGGCCACAGCCCGAGTCGCCGGTGCGCACGGTTTTGAGATTTCAGGGGTTTAGTCATTAGTTCATCAGAACCCGACCGTTAGGTCGATTTCGTCCGTTAGGACGCACACGACCGTTAGGTCGCACTCGACCGTTAGGTCGATTTCGTCCGTTAGGACGCACACGACCGTTAGGTCGCACCCGACCGTTAGGTCGCACTCGACCGTTAGGTCGACTTCGTCCGTTAGGACGTCCCACCTTTACCACACCTACCACACCCACCACACCCACCACACCCACCACACCCCACATCCACCCACACCCGCAACACCAACAAGAACAGCAACACCACCAACTCCTCCACTACCAAAAACACGACCATCACGTCACCAGCACCACCCAAACGTAGCTAGTTCCCAACACTGAAACCGTAAACTCGAAATCGTAACACTGGAGTGCCGAGGCCCGACCCGTCGTGGCTTTTCCATGCCTTCGCAGAGGAGACGGGGACGGCGGGGTGTGGGGGTAGTAGGGCTAGTAGGGCTGGAAGGACTGGTAGGGGTGGTAAAATAGGGTCGTACGGGTTGCAGGGGTCAGAGGTAGGGGATCAGGTAATGCAGCTTGGGACGGGTTTGGAGAGGAGTTGGCATAAGTGCAGGTGAAGGTCGGAGATCAGGAGTAGTAGCAGTCGTCGGAGTCGTCACCGTGCGCTTTTTGTGGTTTCGTCTCTCATATAACCCTGAACCCCTAACCTTAACACCCGGGCCCTGAACCTAAACACCCTACCTGCGATTCCGTATTGCCATTCCGGCTCCAGTCGCATGCCCCGCACGCGGTGTTGAGAGTCGGCAGTCATGGCGCCGAAATTTGACCAGAAAGGCTGGAATGCAGTATACTGGAGGAACCTGGCCCGCATGGAGGACGCCTCTTGGATTGTCTAGTTAAGATTGTGTTTTGCTTTTTAATTTTGCCAACTAAAACAATCCTGAACCCTTGCCCTAACATGTCGTCCTAATATAACATGGGCTTGTGTTTCTTGGTGCCCTGCAGTCGGCTAAAGGTTTTTACTCAGGTTTGGGGGATACAGCTCCTAAGCCCCAAACCGTTTTTGTTTTTGTGATCTTCAAACCCTGTAACCTCAACATCCTAAACCCTAAACTTTCTAGCCCTGCAAGCTAAAATTTGAATCTTCTTCTCAGGTGGACAGGGCGAACGCCCGGTGGCGATCTGAGCACCCTAACCATCCTCCACCCGACAGTTCGACCAAGCCGAGTAACTGGCCAATGTGCTACTCCTTTTACAGAGCCCGGGCAGATCAAAGAGCAGCGCAGCAACAGTCGCCCAAGCTTGCCCCGGCACAGTCGACACAACCCCAGAATGCCCAACAGCAGTCGACACCAGCCAAGACTGGTCCAGAGCAGTCGCCGGTGGCTGGACCCGCCAAGACCTTGTCTCCCCTGCCTCCCTCACCAGCTGGACCCCCTCAAGTCCTCTCGCCCAATATTGCCCTAGGGCACGCGACAGCAGCCAAGTCTCCCATCCCACCACAGTCGACACCAGGACCCAAGACCATGCACCCGCCCAAGACTGCCCCATTGCGGTCGACAGCAGGCAAGGCGACGCCAGACAAGGCTCGAACCCCTCCCAAGACTGCCCCACCGACAACAGCCCAGCCTCCCAAGCTGCCGCAGTCGACACCAGGACCCAAAGCCCAGTCGACAGCGACACCAGGCAAGGCTGCACCAAAAGAGTCGATGCCCGTGAGGCTGCCCCCAGGCCCGGCCGGGAAATTTAGGCATAAAGCTTTGTGCCCTATCAATCCGTTATTTATAATAGTGTTTCTTTTGTTAGGCTATGCAAACGCCCACAGGTCCCGCACAGCCTTTCACGCCTCGTGCTGCTGTGCCGCCGCCGGTGGTGGTCCACAACCACCCTCAGTCGTCCGAAGCCCAGGATCGGCTCGTCGACGCTTGCCGTCGCATGTTGTCTCTTCGATGAATTACACCGTAGACAGAGCCATGAAACTCTTGTTTTTCATATAAGAAACCTTGTGGTTCTGTTCTTGTTAATGTCAAGCTTTCACTCCAGGGAGCTGGGACACCAGCGGTTGGACGAAGCCGGTCGTACAAACCACGAGAATGAGCAACTTCGAGTTGAGGCTTGGCGGCGCAATGCTGTCTTGAACCAGAAGGTCAAGGAGCTTGAGGACGATCCATGGCATGCAAAAAAAACCCCAAACCCTAAACCGCTATTTCATTTAATTACTACAATACCTAACACCCTGACCCTGAACCATAGTCCCAGGAAAAGCGGCGGTTCAAGGAGGAGAAGGAGAAGTCGGAGTCGTCAAAACTGCCGGCTGCTGACTCGTCTTCTGATCGAAAGCGCAGGCCCTCGTCGTCGCCGCAGTCGTCTTCAAGCTCGGCTTCTGACTCTGAGTCTG